AAAATTGTAAAATTTTCATGTTACCTCAATTAAAATGTTATTTTTCAAATAGAACTTAATGGGTCATCATATATTCTATATTGACCACAATAATATGGTCATCATATATTCTATATTGACCACAGCTACAAATAAGGTCCTCTATAAGATCTGATAGAATGCACCATAACTACTGTGTACAAATCTTTTATTTATATATGTGATTTCACTGGCTTAATTTTTGTGTTGCACACAATTTTGTAGCGATTGTGTACTTCCGTGGTGGCCTAAATCTCACCCATTAAGTTCTGTTAACTATCACAATCTACACCTACACATGTGCACATTATTTCTAATGATATACAACCAACGCTTTTGGCAGCAATAAAAACAATAATCTGAAGTTCTTCGCACTTACGCCTAAATTAAGGACAAAATCCAGAACACCCTGGCACAACATACAATAATTGAGTTCGTATTGTTTTTAAGAGTATGGATTCGACATCTTTAGGTTCGTGTCTGCAATCCTCTTCAGTGATGCATTTTGTCTTTGCCTTTAATTCTGGATCTGGTTCAGACAATTGCTTTACAATATACTTAAACGTACCCTCAAAATAAACAAGAACGTCTAGTCCATGACAGATGTGCAAACATGGACACGTTGAAATTCTTAATAAACGGAAATTCATATGGTAGGAATTATACAGTATTCGTCTTTGTTACTGAGAATTTTAAAATCATGCTACAAAAGGCGGAATCTTTTCCTAATACGCCTCTCTGTAGACAGATACAGCGTTATTTCTGAAGAGCATCGATCAGCTTATAATTAAGTTATCATTACATAATGGCATCATCTATATTTTGTCACACTTTCGCCATGTTGTATCCTAGCGCTATGAATTCTGGGAGAGTTTGGGCGTAAAAATAATGTAACTACTCTAGTCCCGTAATAAATAGTGAAAAAGGAAGAATTCTTAATACAATTTTATTAATTGTAATAATTGCCGTACCATAGAAAATAATAAAGTCATCGAAAACCGTGTCATATATCTGAAAATCTTCGGCAATTTACGACCGTCTGTAAATCACCTGAGTATTGTTTTTAGCGTGAACAGCCTATATAATCTCAGTAATTGTGCATTATTAAAAAAATAATTCACTAACCAACGTAGACTTTTCTCGTCATATTTGATAAGACGTGTACATGACCTTCAAAATGTCATTAGGATAGATATCCAGCTAAGAGTAGCACAAGAAAATCCACGATAAGATATTCATTTTTGACTTTGGACTGCTTGCACCCTTAGCTATACATTTATTACTGACTTTGGACTGCTTCTACTCATAGTTATATTTATTACTGACTTTGGACTTTTTGTACCCTTAGTTATATATTTATTACTAACTTTAGATTTCTTGTTCCCTTAACTATACATTTATCACTGACTTTGGACTGCTTGTACCCTTAGTTATACATTTATTACTTACTTTGGACTGCTTATACCCTTAGCTGTACATTTATTACTGACTTTGAACTGCTGCTACCATTAGCTATACATTTATTACTTACTTTGGACTGCTTATACCCTTAACTATACATTTATTACAGACTTATGACTCCTGCTACCCTTAGCTATACGTTTATTACTGACTTTGGACTGATTGTACCCTTAGTTATACATTTATTACTAACTTTGGATTGCTTGTACCCTTAGTTATACAATTATTACAGACTTATGACTTATGCTTACTTTGGACTGATTGTACCCTTAGTTGTACATTTATTATTGACTTTGGACTGCTTGTACCCTAAGTTATACATTTATAACTAACTTTGGATTACTTGTACCCTTAGTTATACATTTATTACAGACTTATGACTGATTGTACCCTTAGTTATACATTTATTACTGACTTTAGACTGTTTATACCCTTAACTATACATTTATTACTGACTTTGGATTGCTTGTACCCTTAATTATACATTTATTACTGACTTTGGACTTTTTGGACCCTTCGTTATACATTTATTACTGACTTTAGACTGTTTATACCCTTAACTATACATTTATTACAGACCTATGACTGCTGCTACCCTTAGTTATACATTTATTACTGACTTTGGACTGCTGCTACCCATAGCTATACATTTATTACTTACTTTGGACTGATTGTACCCATAGCTATACATTTATTACTTACTTTGGACTGATTGTACCCATAGCTATACATTTATTACTTACTTTGGACTGATTGTACCCTTAGTTATACATTTATTACTTACTTTGGACTGCTTATACCCTTAGCTGTACATTTATTACTGACTTTGGACTGCTTTTTGAAGTGCTATTATCACGCTACGTTATTTGTTAAAATTCGGACCTACTCATTTCTAGCGCATATACTTAATTTAGAACCAAAAACGCTACCGAAAAAGAATGTCTCTCATACGTTTTAAGATTTTAAGCATCATCAGTGAAGATACACAGGAAAACGGTTAAAACATTTGTAATACACACATTTTTTTTTCTTTTCTGACTGCATATTTGCACATCTTTGTCCACATGTTGGAGAAATTACACAGGTTTATACATGATTTGACATTGTTTTTATTGATTCATACATGATACAAGAATACGTTTTAATTACATACCTTCATTTTCTTGGGGGAAAAGAGATTGATAATTACACTGATTTATTCTTGTCCAATTGAAATGAACTCTGGAATGCTGGCAGATAATTTTTTTTCTGGAGAAACATACGATACGTGGAATCGCTATATTTGATGTGAATGCAGTGAGGTAAAAGCTTTAAAACAAATACGAAGTATTCTTTGACTGTTCTTAACGTGTTGGATTCTGCAAGAAAGCAATGCTAAGCCTTTAGCACCGACATGGAAAATTCTAACACACAAGCGTGCAGTACTGTTAGTATACCGCGCAAAATGAATGTTTTTAAACAACTGAAAACAAGGTGTCTGTTACAATACATCAAAAGGAGCCATTTATGTTAGGAGTAAATAATGCATGACTTATATTCCTTCGAAGGGTTCTTTTTTCCACAGCATCAAATGCTCCCAGGGAACCATTTAGGAAAAGTGGTTCGTGAAATCTTTTCGTAATGGAACAGACCATCTTCAGTTAATGTCCAAAAGTTATGTGTGCAACAATATGGAATGAGCAGTCTTATTGATCAGACCATTTAGATAGCAACCCATTATGGACAGAAAACTCGCCGTTTCACAACTATTGTTGCGTGGACTGTACCTGTCATCATTTTGAAAAAGTGGCGTAGGTTAGGAAAACTAGAATGCTGAAGATTACTTACAACTCACAAAAAGCAAGAATGAATTAATTGGGCACTTTCAATTACACGAGAAAACTTTTATTTAGCAGTGAACAAGATAATTAAATTGTTCTGTAAAATAAATTTGAATACTTGTTCTCTATTATTTTAGTATCTTAAGACCCTAATTAGTGCAATTAAATGTGTATACTGTCGTCTTGTGTTCCGTCAGTACTATGTATTCCACGCATTTTCTTTTACCTTAGCGAATAACATTGTCATTTAATAACTTGTTATCATACAAATACAAAACTGGTATTTCCACTTCAAAAGAATTCCTTCGCCTAGAAAACAAACACCTCTATCCTACGTCACCGCCTCCCCCGAAATGGCCGACAAGTAAGGGGGCAACCGGAGATATATCCCCGGGACCAAGGCCCTTAAGGTGACCCGAGACCAACAACAATTTTTAATGTTATAAAAGAAAACCTTTGTATGAACAAGAACTAGGAGGGGCCTGGGTGCTCTTATCCCAAAGCCCTTTATCGCTCTTTACATCTCCCTCCTTGTCACAAGAAAGCAACTTATGTTAGAATTATTTGTGACTTTCGTTTCTTGAGCACTTGTGGAACATATCATCCAGATGGTATCGGTTTTAATTATCGATTTTACTTTGACATGTCTCAATTATATAAAAACAAACCTGTCTTACATTAACATTAAAAGTGATGTGAGTGCATTAAAAGAAGCAGTCTCCAGGCGTAAAACAAATTATTGAAAATTTTTGAAAATAATTTAGCTTAATATGAAAGCTAATCATGTGTACCCTAAGAGGCCCTTGTGAATAAGATGTCAAAATACAACTGTGAGCACCAAATTACTCTTTCTGGACTCGTAGAACAATCTTGGTACTGTTATGTGCTCACGTCGTGTAGGTGATAAAAGAGTGATAAAAACAAAATTTTGTTTTCAATGGCAAGAATAAATTACAAAACTTATTACTTTAAGGGGCATATAAGTGATATTATCTTTCGTATTGTAAAGGTTTTTTGTGTGGCTGTTTTGGTACTGCAATCTAGTACCAAACTGATCACATGTCATAAATATCGATGTTATCGCGTAAATCCGACAAACATTATGTTATATGTATTGCTCACACTCCAGGGATGAAAAATATCCATGTTGTTTGTAGAAAATACGCTGCAAATCATACAATGTCAATAAGGAATGTATTCGTCCAGTAGAGATGTTGTTTTATTACAACTCTATCTTCTTCAACAAAGTAATATAAAACAGTGCAAGCCAACATGTTCTGTAAAATTCAACAAAAACTTTATTTCCCTTAGAAAGTGAACATTTAAAAAGAACTTGTAATATTGCGAATTAAATCCCAGATAGTCCAAAAAATATATCACCAAGCCTGATGAATAAAATTCCAATTAAATTCCAATATTGTTCGAAGTAAGATCCATCGCTGAAGGTGTCAATGTGCCTGTAGTCTTGAATGTACTAATGTACCGGTTGCCTGAAGTGTGATGATGTACAACTTCAGTAAACATAACCACTAAAACATTGATAAATGGCATGCACATATCATTGGGAGTCTCTCCGTAAAAGACATTATAAACGAAGAGAATTCCCAGAAGAAAAGACAAAATAAGTGCAAAACGGGCAAATAGATTTCATCGCAATTTTGTAAAAGTCAACAAACGATCATAGTCAGTGCGTTGTCTACCGCTCCGGTGGTCTAATGGTTAGAGCGTCCGCCTCTGATGGGGGAGGTCGTGGGTTCTATCCCCGATCGTGTCATAACAAAGACTTTTAAAAAATGGTACTAATACCTGCCTCGCTTGACGCTAAGCATAAGATGTTAGCATTATGACTGGTCGGCCTGGTGTCAGGATAATGTGACTGGGTGGGACATCATGCTACATGTCTGTGGCATGATGCCCTAGTGCTAGACATCACTATAAACTGCCACACTGCAGATATCGTAGCGATATGACTTAAAACTTGTTAAAGCTACGCTAAAAATCATGCTCACATCACATCACATCACTCTGTTGTTTACCTTTAAACTCCAAAAGTGATGATTTAAGTGGGACTAAATTCTTTAATGCAAATGTGAAATTAAATTTTAAGAAATAATTATTTACAAAATTTCATTATTTTAATAAATAAATGCATGTTTTCAGTTTTGTAATTTTAAACTTTTTGTTGTTGTTTATATTATGTACAAAATTTAAATATTGCAACAAATGTTTATTTTTTGCAATATGTCCCCATTTTCATATGATTATTTTCATTGGAAATTGCAAAATAAATAAATTAAGGCATGCTTTACAACCATCACACTCTGTTGATCTGATACAACTGAACGCGAGCATGATGTTAAACCAATATCTAAATCACTTCACCAATCATCATGTAGCAATATTAGGTAATACTTAACTTTGCTGTTGGTGATCCGCCTCTACAACAACTATCGCGCAAGATAGGAGCCCCTTTACTCCAATCTTTGCCAAGGGAAACCAAACATTTCAACATCATACTGTTCTATTCTAGTGGCATTACTTCTTTTATTAAAGCATATCTTTATAGCACGTGATTCTCGGTCTTTTTTTCACAAGATTTGTTATTTCGTCAAGAATTTAGCAAGAATGCCACGGTTCAAAAAAACACCTAACAACAGCAGACAGGTTGAATCATGTAAGCAGTTTCGCATTTGCTTCTACAAACTCAGTCTGTGGGTATAGCTACTTAAGATATCTTTCGTGCTCTTTAAGAATTTTACAAGATACACAAGTGTCTCATATTTTTGGAATCAACATTAAGTGCTAAGTGTTAGGACTGGTCTGGTATGAGGATAATATAACTGGGTGGAACATCATGCTGCACGTCTGTAGCTACGTTAAAAATCCAAATATCAAACACACGTGTGCGCACGCTTGCGCGCAGACACACCCACACCGAGTTTTGGCGCTGATTTTTTGCGTATACAGAAATGGGTTCAGCCTCAGGGGTTAATATGATATATGGTACTCAGAATTACTGGTTCGATTTGTAGCCCAGACTTGGTCTGCTTCTGTGATGCGTTCAGATGCTAGATATTTCAGTCTTATTGCTTAACACAAACTAACAGAGACCAGGCAAAACGCGCTAAAGGACTAAATGTCTTTTCCCAGGCAAAAGCTAGTGTAGATCCGGATTCGAATCTCCTCGAGGGCGTTCCGATTGACTTCAATAAACGCTAATCGGACTATTTACTAAAATGAAAATTGATCAAGAAGTACGAATGATGAAACAATTTTATTTAAATTCTTATCCTTTCAGTTTATCAAAGAGTCAATCTCATTTTAGAAATAGCCGAGTTGGTCCCATAACGGGTTGATTTTTGCAAAATAGCCGAGGTGGTCCCATAATGGGTTGATTTATTTTTGCGTAGAAATTCACGACATACAAAACGAAAGATTTTTCTCTTTTAACTTTTTACTCCCATACACATCTGAGGATAATTTTATACTCACATCAATATCACAGGTAGTTCTATTCACAAAACAATGAACATAAAACGACCTAGCGAGCGGAGTGTTAGGAACGATAGATATTATAGATTTTACACTTATTGATGCAAAGATGTAGTTTACAGATGTGTAATTGAAAACACGTACGTGGTGTTGGGTAATCTTAGTGAATCTTGGTCAAACGAATGGGCAGTTGCAAATTCTAGAACAAAGGATAGGAATCAGAAGACCTGTTTTTGCTTTTTATTTTAAATACCCTACAAATTTTATCCTGGATGTACTATTTTGTTCTAATATTATAATCGCAATTTTACTTGTCTTTTTTATTTATCGAAAACTAGTAATAACATGATATAGTACATGATATAGTACAGTCATTAACATTTTGATATCTTAAACTTTAAATATTTTAGACTGTATTTATATGCTGCTTTTGAATGCTTTTACGAATTTTTAAACAACATACTTTGGTTACTTTGGCACAAAATATACATCTGTCGTCTTGCTGCCTGCCACTAGATTCATACATAGACATCGGGGGAAAAACACAACAGTTTCGATGAAGTCTTGTATCTCTAAGCCAACTAATTATCGAGTAATTAAAAACCATCTGCCATAAATAAAACAGACAAGATGTCTTCAACTGATGCGTAGCCTGCAGCATATTTCAAGTCTCGGTATTGAGGCATCAAAATGTTAAACAAGCCCAAGTGTGTTACCGCACCCCCACCCCAAAAGTACGGATTGCATTCATCCATTAAATGCAACTTCTGTATTTTTTACCGAGAGAGTCGAGCGTACTTTACACAATTTCTGTGAAGTATTCTAACAGCAACTGGCACTTGTAAAGGAATATGTTGTCAGTATAAATACATTTGTAACCGATAACAACAACATCAACAACAACAACAATGATGATGATGATGATGATGATGATGATGATGATGATGATGATGATGATGATGATGATGATGATGATGATGATGATGATAAGAACAACTTTCTTTAATGAGGATAATATATTTCGTCATGACTAACCCATTTGCCATCTGGTCCTAAATTTTGTAATTGGTTATGTTAAAATGAGTGAATATGTGTGAAAATACTGGGAAACAGATCCATATATGAACAATATACAACAATAGAAAATGAATTTGATGAGTATGGGCTTTGTTTTCAAAATTTAGATTACCTTTCTATTTGTCTTTCTGTATGTTTGTATGTACGTATAAGTATGCATTTATGTATATATGCATGTACGTATGTACCCATGTATGTACGCAGTGTGTATTTTGGTATGTATGTATGATCTGTTGGTATTTTGCTAATGTATATATGCATGTACGTATGTACCCATGTATGTACGCAGTGTGTATGTTGGTATGTATGTATGATCTGTTGGTATTGTGCTAATGTATTGCACAGTATGATGCCCATTAATTTCATTTGAATTTATAATGGTTGTGTTATTATTTATTAAATAAAAGTGATGCAAAATTTAATTAGCTGCAACGTGAAAGATCATCACACTGTGTTATTCAAAGGGAGTTGCCACAAACAAAAACAAAAAAAACATTTTTTTTTCAACCACAAATTACAAGCAAATAGTGTTAAAAAGAGGCAATTGCACGCCTGGCATTTATTATTCATCGTTAGGAAATATTATCAAAGCCGGATAACCCACTAGCACAGTAAACACGTGCTTAGGGCACCAGCCCAATATGGGCACCAGAAACATTCAAATTAATTCTTGACGATACAACTGAATGAATTAAATATGACCGCCATGATCTGCATGTACGAATATTTTGATTTGGAATAATGGCAAAACTATTAGTTTCCCAACCTTTTAGCTTTCAATTTTTTCTTTTAGTTTCAGATAGGGGTTGGGGTGGGACCAAACCATTTTCTGTGCTTTGGGCCTTAATCTGGCACTGAATACGACAGTTACAAAATAAATTTAATGCTTACTATTTTGTATACCACCAAGTTAATAATGAAACTTTTTTGAACTCCATCAAACAACATCAGTATAAACGTCTGCCCTCTATGTATATATAACAATCTAAATGATTTCCTCCTTTTCGCAAATGACGCTGGCAAAATTCCAAACAGAGAACAATATTTTGAAACCGTCTTTCATGTGAAGCCTCCAGCAGCACACAATGGAAAAGTTAAAGACGTAGAGCATAGTTGAAGCGTAAATTGTTCAGGTGGTTTTCATTTACTTCTGACGTTCAAAGTCTGAAATAGTCCAGGATGTTATTGTAACACATACAGGTTTAAGCATTCGTTTTCTGTTCGGCTAGTCGAGGAAACCAATTAACTATGCATTCATAATTGCTACTCCAGCACATGGTGTCAGGAAAACCGGTACATAACAGGACCAAATACTCTTATTTTTTTACATATTCTCTACTATTGCTTTCCAGCAATGCTTTTTCCTTTGTGTTGGTAATAAAAGCATCATCTTAGACTAAATTACAGTAAAGTTCTTACCATAGGTTATCTGGTACCAGTTTGGAAAGGATGAACTATGAATATAGCAACATGCCTTGCAAAAGGATTCCACTTACCATACACTGATTGTCAGAGCACTCATTGTGGTAATTTGTGTCCAAAATATGCACAGAGAACCATAAGAAAGCTCATATCTATATTATAAAAAAGCTCCTTCAATTCTGTGGCAAAAATGCCTCCATCTAAACCAAAGATCAGCACAAAAAAGAGGAAAGAAAACGTCATAAAAAGGATTACATTCGGAATAATTTATTTGTTATCTGAGTCAAATCAGGCCAAGATCTATTGTGGACAGATTTAATCAACTTTTTTATTCCCATGCCTTAAAAAACGTTCAGTTAAAAAAAAAAAGTTAACAAATTTGAGAAATTTATTTGCTGAACTAGGTGTTTGACAACTGTCAGAAACTTCACTAGGTTAGGGGTTAGCAAGGTGTCCTGGATCAGATGCTTGAAAGGTCCCAAAACTAAGTTTACTACATGTTGCTTGGAAACATATTTAAAACAGTGAAACATGTTTATGTTCACATCATATTTCATATCAGATAATCGGTTTTAAATGGAGATAAAGAAATTGATAACATTTATTTGAAGGTGAATTTTTAAGTAGAAGTTTAATTCTAAAAATGTATTTATACAGAGAAATTATATTTTCATACAAGTTTAAAATACCAATCTTCCAAACTTTAGCAGCAAAGTTGAACAATGAATGAAATTGAGACAAATAGCAATTTGTATATATACAGATTATAAAATTGGGTCCAAG